GCACCTTTGCCCTAGACGTGTATCACTGGTACATCTCTCTAATCTTTCTATAACGACTTTTTTTGTAACAACTACTTTCGTAGTAGTCTGTCGACAGGCTGTTTCGTTATATTACAATATTGTCCCCAACCCACGCCTGAAACACGGCCCTTGCGTGTCTGAACAGCAGATGTTTAACTACAGCGCGGTCAGAGGTCCGCTGCGCAACTTTCTGCCAAATTACATCTCAACTATCGAACAGAGACTCTCCTACTTTTGCATGGGGATTTGTTTCGAATTGTCACAACAGATCAATAATTTTTGTAAACGCTTGTTAGCTGTATTCCAGAAAATTTCATTAAAATATTGATAGAGGGTGGTTTCTACACAGTTTAAAAGGTTTACATCAGATAAGGTGGGACAATAGCACTTTCAAAAGCAAGGTCGTTCATTCTCCTAATTGCGACACTACGCTTAATGTATGCATATTTTGTCAAATTGATTTAATGTAACAAATGGTGTGGAAAGAAACTTGAAGTTTTTAAATTCCCTTTTAGCAATCATGGATGATCACATTTTATCATTTTGTAAACCAGAGCGCCCTGGTACAGGTGCATCGCTTTTGAACAGGAGTGGGCTTTACTGTTTTTCATTTCTTTTATTTATACGTTATAAACCAATGTATTGAGAGATATTTGTGATAATCTCTTCAGAATATATAAATCATCGTACATTCACCGGCATCTTATAAAGCGTAGCCCTCCTCCTATCAAAAAATACCAAAACCATGCTCAAGTGATGTATAAAAAGCTTACAGTACAGTTTGACTAGCATTGCGATTTCATAAGCTTGAGACAAGAAAATAATCTCCTTTGGTGACTCTTAAAGATCCAATACAACGATTAAGCAAAGTACCTGTAGTGTCAGTGACAACAATTACACAAATGGAGGACAGCTAAATAAAACAATGATAAGAAATTGACCGCTGACAGAAAGGGTTTACTGAATGCTTTGGGCAAAGATGTACCTCAACGTTGCATAACTATAAACAGCCTATACTCAGATATAATCTAAGTTACACTACGAAAGCCCATAACCATTAGAGGTCGGCAAGACAATGTAATGACTAGACGCTGCATATTCGTTTGGGTTTTTTTTTCTTGTTTTCTTCATTTTATAATAAATAACGGTTTGCCTGTACTGCAAATGTCCTCCTATGTTAAGTCATTCTTCTCATACGCATACGCATACGCACACGCACACGCACATGCACACTCACGCACGTTCGCAGTACACCCACGCACATAATACATACAAACATACACATACACACATATACACATACACACATACACACACACATACATACATACATACATACATACATACATACATACATACATACATACATACATACGGGGGGGCTCTCGTGGCCTAGAGGTTAAGGTGTTGGCCTCTCATTCAAAGGTCCCGGGTTCGAATCCGGGTAGCGACCGAAAATTTTCTTCTCTAAAATTGTCTCCTTTCCCCTCCTTTCCTGCTCTCTAGCAATGTTCTGTTGTCTGCTTTCATTTCCACTTTCTGCCCCCACCCCATCACCTCCTTTGCCCCCTCCTCTGGGCTCCTGACTCTTTCTGCAGCCTTTCTACTGCTACTCCTTGGCTCCTCCTTACTGCTGTCTTTCTGCCACACCCCTGATCTTCTGGTAGGAAAGATCTACACCTAGCCTTCTCGGACAAGGGCGAAAAATCTCAGAGGGCCCGTGTGCAAGTGCAAGTTGCGCACGTTAAAGATTCCTTGGTGGTCTAAAATCGATAAGAGTAGGCTTCAAAATTTCCTACCAACTGAAAATATTAGCTGTGTCCCGCGCGCTCATATGACCTTATGCAGTTAGCGCCGTAAAACACTTTACAAATACATACAAACATACATACACACACACACACAGACACACACACACACATACACACATACACACATACATACATACAACGACACACACGCACATACGTCCCGTTGTGATGCCATCTTCCCATACAACGGTCTAACAAGTTCATTATCACTTCTTTCAATATGAAAAGTAGCCACTAGGGAGAGTCGGTGACTAAATAGCAATCAGTCACTTATTTGTATGACTGTTCGACCAGCTGTAATAGTCATCAGCACATTAGGCATATTATGCTGTTCTTTAAAGTGCACCGAGACTATTATGGCAGTTTTTAAAAAAACAATATTGAAATGTCCTGATAGTTAGACTGCTTTTACAATGTTTGCTTACAGTTGCATGACAGAGAGCTTATTATAAGAGATCACCATTTCGGACAGTTAGCGGTCCAAATATTCACTATATGAAAATATTTAAGTCCTCTGCGTTTGATAGCGGGGTGCCCAACCATTATACCACATACATTTTCTATTCAAACTGTACTGCTTCAAAAGAACAGATGGTTCCGTTTATTATTGATAATTAATAGATTGGAAAATTGCTCACTGAACTTAGGAGGGTAAATTTTATATTCGAACTCTCGTGTAACATTTACAAGGTAACGGTTGAGTTACTGCGGAGTATTATTTTGCCAAAAGCAAAAAATTAAATACTTGGGTAAAGTCTTAAAATGACTTTCACATTCCTGACTTTGCGTCGGAAAAGATGTCTTAAATGACCGCGTAGTTGACTGTTGAGGTCTAATTACATCCCTTAACATCTCTTTCTCCCTTCTTTTTCCTCTCATTGCCCAACACGTTCGTTTACGGGACAGATTGCCTCATTTTCTCGGCTCACGCAATCGAGGATGGATGTCAACCATAGCTCCCATTTCAAGAACAATAAGGTTATGAAAGAAGAATGCCTGCGGCAAAAGCAATATCATGGCTGTGTGTATTCTTAAAACTAATCATTGGGCGAAGACCTTTTTTGATTGAGCTGCACGGACGAATATTACGGGCAAATGGTGGTCTTAAGGGTAATTCGGAAGTAAGTCTTTCTGGGACCCCAGCAGAGCGAGCAGCGACAAAATGGATAGAGAATTCTGTGAATCTCAAAATGTATTTCCATTTGATTAAACTGCTGTTATGGGCTTTTTTGTCAGTGCATCTATTATTCTGTTTTTGTTTGTTTGTATTTGTGTGACAAAGAAACATAAAAGGGGACCTGATGACAGCTGGGCTGCAGGGAAAAATAGGGTCAAAGAGAAATAAAGGAGAACCTCCAACATCACTGAAGACGTAAAATCCGACACTGGGCTACAACTTCGTGAAATACTATACATCAAAGCAGAGACTTGGGAAGATAGAGGAGTGTTGTGACATGGACGAAAACTGCCATGATGACAAGTGACAACATCATCTTTGCCTTTTCCACCCTGCACCAGGGAACAGGCCACAAACACTTTCCACCGTTCCCTATCCTGGGCTATCCTGTTGATATCATTTTATATCTTCACAATTTTCTCTTAATCAGTCTCTTTAAGTCTTCTTCAGGTTTCCAGTGGTCTTCCCTTTAATCTCTTACCATGTGGGTTCCAATCCAACACGTTGACCGGCAATAGGTGATCTATCATCCTGAAAATCGTTACGGTCTATAAGACTTGTCCCCGAGCGGTTTTATCTGCTTATATTTTGTCATAACAGGATCTACGTAGCATGCTTAGGTTTCAACAACATTAGACCTCAATGATCTACAAGCCCCCCTAACTTTGAAATTGCAGTGCTCAGGTCTTTTAAAAAATATTTTCTGCGCACCGATGCTGTTCTCAAAGCCCTCAAAAGAATTGTTCACATGCAAGCATGTTTATAAAGAAACGTAAAGTTTAAAAAGAATAATAAAATAGTAGCCTACAGACGCAGGAAACAGACAGAAACCTGTTGAATTGAATTGGTATACTGTGCTTTCACAACAATACCGTCGCCATTTAATTACACTAAGTCGGTATCACTGGCTCGTTGGTGATTTGATGCAGGTTGCCCAGGTATTGGAAATATTGGTAGGTGGGCGTAAGGATATTCAAACCTCTTAAAGAAGTGGACGCTGAATATAAAACGTTCGACAAGCACTCAACTACACTGACAAAAACAGTTCAAAGGTGGGGAGAGCTTATCAGGTCATACCAGAAATATAGCCTCAGTTGAACACCTCAGTCCTTGTAAACAAGCAGGATACGTCAACACTGTGATTAGCAACGCTTAGAGGATTGTGCTGTGTGGTGTGACGTTTCCCTCCGACGTCCAGCCCCGCTAACTGCGCTCGACCCTCGCGGTGTTAATTACCGCTCTGATGACGCTATGGGCCAACCCTTTTCCTTGCTACCCCGAGTCCAAACCACTCTCGTAATCAATATTACATAATTATGTTGAAAATTGTGTCAACAGAACGTTTTGATCTGGCGTAGTACGTGATGTAGTGCGTGGAGCATGGAAAAAAAGAGTTGTTTTTTCCAGGACTGGTGAAGTCCTGAATTTTTTCTCCTCCAAAAATCTCATGTCTTACCAAGACTTTTCGTAGGGTATAACAGATTTATTGAAAACGATTTACGCCCCCAAGGACCCATTTTAGATACATCAGTAAGTACATAGTTTCTACCCAGTCAGAAATACGGTGAGACTCGTAAAGTTCTTTCCCTCAAGGGAATTAAACTCGTATTGTTCGCTCGCACGGTGTAACGTCTAACCATCACAGCTGAGTAACTGGAATGTCACCAACTCTGCCTTTTGCCAAAAGTAGACGCCGGTCTCTGTTGGGTCGAGCATGGTGTGGGACATGACTAATGATATGGGTCAGTTGGTGAAAAAAAGGCTCTTTCATTCCGACAAACTGTAACTACAGCTGTTACTTTAGATAAGGGCGTGATCTTGTTCAAAGCAAGGAATTATATCCTAATATTATACAAAACAAGCAGAATGTGCGAATGCCCGCGTGCGCGCTGTGTGTGCGTGCGTGTGTGTGTGTGTGTGTGTGTGTGCGTGTGTGTGTGTATGTGTGTGTGTGTATGTGTGTGTGTGTGTGTGTGTGTGTGTGTGTGTGTGTGTGTGTGTGTGTGTGTGTGTGTGTATGTGTTTAATATATAGTCCGATCCGGACATTAGGGATTGCCTTGTTAGTTAGACAACTTCCTGGGCCTTCAACATATTGTGGTAGGGTGGCCAGTTCCTTAATACATGTACGTGTATATATATATATATATATATATATATATATATATATATATATATATATGTGTGTGTGTGTGTGTGTGTGTGTGTGTGTGTGTGTGTGTGTGTGTGTGTGTGTGTGTGTGTGTGTGTGTGTGTGTGTGTGTATATATATGAGTCAAAGAATGGGAGTGGCAGAGAGGGGGGGGGGAATCACTGGGATTTTCATTGTGGGCGATCAAAGGTTCCAGCAGTCACAAAACGTAAAAGGGCAGGTTGAGTTCTTCCCGAATCTCAGCAACTTTTAACACCATCTGTTTTCAGTCAGGAGAGTGTAAAAATGCCTAAGCAAAATAACAAATCTAATCCTTAGAGAACACAGCATACTTTTAAAGCTCTAGTTTAACAATACCCCCTTTTCCCCTTTGTGATACTCACGTAATGTTGTTCATCTCTGCGCTCAGTTTGAACTTTTGACTCGTGGCCGCCCATTTCATGTCCGTTCCCGATATGAGCCAGCACGACGTCCAGGAGTATTTACTCATGACAGCAATCACCGAGCTAGAGACATAGGCCATCAGAGTCTCTGTGTTCACCATCAGGTGTCTCCCAGTGGAGTTCTGGTGGTCTTGGCAGTCCTTAATATCACGAACCGTGTGGAAAACAATGAGGATAATAAATTAAACTAAAATTGAACAGTGAAATCAATAAAGCTGTACAAGGATTGTACATTGGAGTTAATTAGTTATAATAGGATTGTTTACGGGGGGGGGGGGGGGGGTTGACTTCCTAAAAATAACACCGTCCAATATCTATATTCGTTAAGAAGTCTCTAAAACAGAAGAATGAGCCATACTTTTCATGAGAACAATCTTTGGTTATCCTCATCCAGCTGGCCTTGCAGCTTTAGACATCTTAGAGAACAATAATAAAAGGTAAACATTTTACTGGCAACTTTGGTGCAGCTGTTAGACGCTTCGCTGTCACACGTAGGGGACCCGAGTTCGATTCCCAAGTTGGGAGAATTTTTTATCAAGAATTTCGCCTTTGTTTCTGGGACGTTGTATCCCACTCAGCCCGAGTTGGTCGGAAGCCCATCTTCTAAATGATCTAAATTGTGCCGATGGGGACGTTACACACATACATTAAAATCGATTGAAAATAATGTACATGGCACTAGAAATAAATGTACGTTAGAAGAAAACATATTTTAGTTTTAGTAACGTTTTACGGCGTTCGCAACTGCATAATAAGGTCCTATGAGCGCCAAAGTGAGGATGTCAACAGAGAAGTCTAGACGGTGAATCAAGCTTACTCTGCTCACCTCTCTAGCCTCAACAGTACAAAGTTTGCTTCGACTATCAAGGCACCCCGAAAATGTCAGTTCACAAGAGAGTGACAAACATACAAAAGAAGTAGAGGAAAATGAAAAGGGTGACGGAAGAAAAAGCAGCAGTTTCCCCTTTATTGTTCCGGCACAATATGAGCACGAGATCTATAAATCAGTCCATTTATAATTCTACTGTGCATACAAACATGTTACTCTCCCCCCTTTGGGAATGACCTAAAGACAACTTCAGTCCGTAGCACTGCCCTGGTGGGGCAGGAAATATGTACACAAGAACATTAATAGGTTAGGCGTAACATGTACGGAATAAAGTTCTAAACAAGCCTCAAAATACCGAAATAGTACATTTTTTAAACTTTTTTATTTATAACCTTTCTTCTTATTATACTTTTTCTACCTCTTCCTAACTTTTCCAGTAGCTGGAAGGTGCTTCTCGGAACTTTCTCCAATTAAACACATTGACTCTTGACTTGCCATTCTGCCTGTCTGAATTGTTTTGGTTTTATAAACCACTCACTCAAAAATGTCAAATCTGTCTTTCCGAGTTTTGAAACAAAATAAGGAGACAAAATAATGTCGATTGCCCCTTATTCTAAAGTCTCGGGACAAGCCTCTAATCCTACGTACTCCAAGTTTTGAAACGGTTGTCGTTCAAAAGCCGTGTGGGTGCTTATTTCCTTCGTGGGTGGGACTTTCACTGACATTGCGGACACAGCTTTGACGAGACGAGATTCTTTTTTTTCTCCAGCCCACAGTGTATTCTAGACGTTCCCTTCAGTCGGCATGACGTTGACCAATGACTTTATAAAGATAAGATACAATCGATACTAAGACCAAGAAAGGCAGGAGGGCGGGATATTGGACAGAGAAAGACTTCTCTGACACAGACACATATGACGCAAATGTCCCAAGCAGAGGAAATAGACGGATGAACAGCACGGTCACTCTTTTGTCCTCAGCTCTGTCATTGCCGATGAATTCTCGCTGTGAAATGAAACAAGTCACTTTTGTCATTACCCTAATTGCTTCTCTTTTCTTTTACTTATCTCCAAGGCCAGTCGTTTTGCAGGTGTCTGAAACATTATACAGAGATCCAATCACACCGGAACTTTAGTCTCTTCATCACCATCTCCATCCCACTATATGTACTGTGCTCTCAGTGACATTCTATGACCTTCGCCACCCAATATTCTGCCCTTCCCTCTATATCTCAGAGTCACTCTATCCCCGCTACCACCAAATTTTCAATCATTTGAGTTTTCAGCCTGTCCTGTTTTCGAAAAAATGTCACTCCATACCAGCCTCAATTCCACTTTTCGCCCTATCTACTGTACCTTAGAATGCCACATTTATCCAACTTTTTGCCCTTCCCAATATACCTCAAAGAGCTACTCTATCCCAATCCTAATCCTATTTTCTGTCCTACCCTCTATCGCCATCTCGGTCTCTATTTCCGTTCGTCTTTAACCAGAAGCGGGTGGGGGGGGGGGGGGGGCTCGGATCTAGTCAGTGTTAACAGGATCCAGAATTTTACAAAGATCTTCGAAAACAACTGGAAAATAAGCACGCTGCCAAAACAATGTCTTTTTTGCACATACTTCGAACACATCCCCCCAGGGAACCCCCCCACACAAAACACACACACACACACACACACAACCGACCACCCCGTCACACACACACACACACACACATATATATATATATATATATATATATACATACACACACACATACACACACGCACACACACATACACACACACACACACACATACACAAACACGCTCACACACACATTTACACAACGTTCCCCTCTTCTCACTCCTTTTCCTTTTTGCTGCCCCTTTATTATCAACCTTTTCAACCTCTCCGGCCTAGGTGGCCATTCCAAAATTTTTCGAAATTGCCAATAACCCCTACCAAAAGCACACCCTAGAGCTGTGTAAGGAGTACTCATTATTCAACGTAGAGAGCTTTTTTCTAAAGGTTTTGCAGGAAAGGGAAGCAAACATTAGATGACAAACAAGTTTGATCTGTTGCCTCATTAAGAAAACACGTCATAAAGTATTCAGCGGTTTCCTCGCAAGGGGTGTTGCTATTCGTCTCGGTACCATAATATGATCATTTAACCTCTCCAATGCCCTTTTATTACATGACAAGCTTAGCTTTGGAGGGATTACATCCACGTTGTTGGCGAATTTAGAAATCTGAAACAGAGCATTCCAGAGGACACTTTTTTCTTCCTTACTAAAGGCAATTCGAGAGGGGCCGAAGAGATAATGTCGATGGCTGGGAAGGATGGAGTGCTGTTCAGCACTATAAGCCGCATCATGTTGAAAGAAGGGTGGATGTGTTAGGCGTAAAGAGAGGCAGGGGGCCATCTCAGCATCATTACTGAGTTCTTCCAGGTTAACAAGGTGTAGTAATGGGAACTACAAGAGGAATGAATGGGAACTACAAGAGGAATGAGAGTTCATAAAACGAAAATGGATGGCATTTTCTAAAACTTGGTTTATGTCGACCTGACACCTCGATCTGCCGGATGACTGTGAGTATTGACCTATATCTATCTATCTATCTATCTATCTATCTATCTATCTATCTATCTATCTATCTATCTGTCGGTCTGTCCGTCTGTCCGTCTGTCTGTCTTTGAAATTCTCAAAGTGTCTATGGTGGCGTCAGTAGTGTAGTCCATTGGTTAGACTACCGAACCCGTAATCTTGAGATTACGGGTTTGAGGGTTCGAGCTTCAGCGTTGCGTCTTTGGAAAGGCACTTAACACGAATGTCCTATTTGCCTCTGTTCTTTCGGAGACGGACGTTAAAATCGTAGGTCCCTCCCCTTAAATAACCTAATAGTGTTGATAGGGTTGTTAAACCCGTACAATTTCACCACTTTTTCACCAAAATGTATGTGATGTGCTCAAGTGTTTCTTTCGTCACATTGTCTAAATGTTCTGGCTTGTAGGGTCCTCACATTCCATGTTCCGATTTGTTTTCAAACATTTCCTCCCATGCTTTGGGTGGCTGCCTTGTTACTGCAGCCCACTGTGCGGAATTCGATAGCCACTGTCATAACAAGCCCTCCTCAATATTGTTATGCTCGTTTCTTTGTGGTTTCTTTTTACAACAACCGTCGACCCAGAACAGGGCCCCGGGATTCTGCATGATTATTTCTCTAGCTTTTAATCTGCGGTCTTTGTATTTCTTTAAGATCATGCATAGTCAGTTCCCTACCTTTTCCACGTTGAAACATTGAAATATCGGGCTTTGCCTCTTCCTTCTTCTTCTTCTCCCTCCCCCACCTTCATGACAATTTTTTTTTTTTAATTATCTGAAACTAACAATGGCTGTAAGATGCAGTAGCATTCAGATCGCAACACAAAATATATACAATCTCGATGAGTTGTCAAAGTTCTCCAGGTTTCACCTGGCTACTTCTACTTCTGTATGCAAATTGTTGGAAATTGCGGCGTAAATGACCAGGGAGAGGAGTCCAATCAGGTTTCTACAACACCAATGACACTCTCGCTCTCTCTCTCTCTCTCTCTCTCTCTCTCTCACACACACACACACACACACACACACACACACACACACACACACACACACACACACTCACTCACTCACTCACTCACAAAAGTACACAAACAAAAATAGAATACGAAGAGGTAAAAAAGGAGGAGTACAGAGGGCTGGGAGAAAGAGAGAGAGAGACAGAGAGAGAGAGAGAGACAGAGAGACAGAGAGACAGAGAGAGAGAGAGAGAGAGAGAGAGAGAGAGAGAGAGAGAGAGAGAGAGAGAGAGAGAGAGAGAGAGAGAGAACAGCATTGCGACACAGCAAAAGAAAGGGCCATGTCATCAATAAATGTAAGTGAGGAAATCGTGCACGCATAAGATAAGCTGCTGCAAGGACAGACAACCATTACACGCTGTCAACAAACTATGATGAGACGGTGGTTCGGTACAAGAGCTATCTTTCCACTTGAGTGGAGAGTGAACTTGCGTCTGTGGAAGTTGCAACATAAAAGTAGAATGAGAGTGAGGAGAGCGAGGAGAACGAGACAGACCGATTGACAAGCTTAATTCATTTTACAAACTAATTGGAAGAATAACTAAACTTAAACTCTCTCTCTCTCTCTTTCCCTTTCTCTCTCTCTCTCTCTCTCTCTCTCTCTCTCTCTCTCTCTCTCTCCTCTCTCGCTCTCGCTCTCGCTCTCGCTCTCGCTCTCTCTCTCTTTCGCTCTCTCGCTCGCTCGCTCTCTCGTCCGTTCTCCCTCCACCCTCTCTCTATCGCTTTCTCCTGTTCGTTTTGAGCCTTCACTCACTCACTCACTCACTCACTTCTATTTCTTTAAAAAGTCTAATGAAAAAATGAAACAAACAAATACAGTGTGCAAGAACATGGAGCAAAACAATAAAAAGGGAAGAGAAGCAACAAAATGCAAATAAGAGAAAGGAAAAGAGAAGGGACAAAAAAAACAAAAACGAACAATATACATTATTGATAAGTGGGCAGAGAGACAGACGGAAATAGAGATGTGATAAAAGGGCTGGTTGCTAGACGTGAGCAATCAGTAGATGTGACAAAGAAAAAGTGTACTTTCAAAATAGAGTGGTCACAATTGACAAGAAATATGCACGGCGAAGTAAGCTACAGTTGGAGGGACAGCGCAACTAAAAGCGTGTGTTACGAACTGATAATTTCGACTAAATGTACTCTCACATTACACCTGTTTAAAATGCTATCTATGTACCTTGGCATTGTTTTAGGACGATTCTTGTCTTTGATCAGCGCACATCTGCATACAGCTAGAGTTGGTATTAAACTCACTTTCTTAGGGCGGTCTTATGAGCCAACTAACCTACTAATATTTGGGAATATTTTTGCCCCTCAGCCTCTTTCCACTTTCTCTGTTTTCGAGTAATTTAATTAACAAAAACAAAATAAAACACTATCGCTGCAAACGAGTTTAAGGCATGGTTACCTGGAGCCAGTCGTTCAGCTGGAAGCCTTAACAATTGCTCAGGCCAGGGCCAACATGGATCGCAGAGCATTTGTGTCACGACGCAGTGGAATCAGCCGTTCGTCAGTTTTCGCGCATATGGAGTTATTGATATCATCTTAAAGCGTGTTACATTTTCTTGGTTTTGATGGAAAAAAATAAACATTTACCTGGAACAGAATTTACGATAGAAAGAGGGGGGTGTCGCGCGGTGTCAGAAATAAAATTTGCGACAAAAAGGCAGATTTCCAATGCTTGAGTGTCCTTGGAATCGGCAAATTACTTGTTCGAGCCTTTGAGCTGCGTTTTTCAGTGAAAATCCATACATAAATGTTTTTATAAAACATTAAAGGAGTTGAGCCCAAAATTACTCTTTTTTAAATTACCAAACGGGTGGTAAGATGACAATTTCTTAGAATTCATTATTTGACGAGCGCCTGATTTCACCACGATGCCCCACAATTTTAAAAGGTTTATTGTGCTTTTTTTTCGAATCTAGTGGGTGCCTGACGGGCGATCTGGTGTGGATTGCTCCTTCCCTCTAGTCAAAGATCTATCGTTCTCATTTCTCCCCCTTTTTTTTCTTTGTATGATTCTCTAGAGGTAACACATCTAACCTTCGCACTTATATGATCTATTTGGGTTGCTAGTGCCATAAATCTCCAAGACCAAACCTAGACGTTGTTGTCTCTCAACAGCTAAGCTAATTCTTAATTCGAAAGCAAATGTTCAAATGGAAAACAAAAATTCACTATTTTTTCTTCTTTTTGGAACCCTAGTCTAAAAGACCGATATTTAAAACGTATTATGTGTGGTCTCTGACAGCATAATTGCCCCATGACTGGTTTTCACTTTGAAAAATAATAAATTTAAACCTTTTTTATATATTTGAGTTGTAAACCAATATATTGCCAAGAAGTCTGATATAAAGAAAGCCTTTTTGTGGCAACAAAGATGACAGATTGAAGACACACTGGCAATGAATCAGGAGAAATACAGGTTATCAAAATAAACGAGCGGTTTGCTAGAGCTCACTTTCTGAAGTGGGTGGTTGGCGTCTGCTCTGGTGTGGTTTGCTCCTACTTTCCTATCAACCATCTATTGTCCTTAGCTATCCTCCTTGTGTGTGTTTGTTACACTCTTCTTGCAATGCCTCTGATCGTCGGTATATATACGAGTATTACCTTATTGTGTTGCAAATGCCGAAAAACTCTCTTCTACTAAAACTAAACTTTCTCTTCACCCAGATAATGTCGCTTAAAATAGTTAAACAAGTCCAGACCAGACCATCTAAAGAACAATAATTATTATACGTATTAGTTAAAGCTGTAGCTTCTAACCCGCTCTATCTCCACACCCCACCTAACCTGCTAATGGAACCAGGAATATTGTTTCCCAAAGCACAGTAACCCTCTCTCTTTAAGAAATAACCGGAGGTGTTTAGGTTTCATTAGTCAGTGTGCTTCTCTATGGTGTGCTTTGACTGTAACGTGTACAACACTAAGATTTGAAGACTGCACTATGCAATATCCGTGCACCCATGAAATGAGAGATGGTTCGGCTTTTCATCGATAGTTCAAGTATCTATGTATTGTACAGAGAATCATATTCGTGATCTAACGTTCAAACAGTATCTTACAGCTAAGTTGGATTCTTCACACGATGGGTAATGCCCACATGCTCATGATTTGTCTCTGCACACAATTACTACTGTACGATCTGACTGCATTGACCCCAAATTATTTCTTAGAGTTACAGAAAAGAGAGCATTTTTGCAGACGACCCATTCCCTGTTATCAAATAGATTGGTGACAGAGGGGTAAAACGAAACAAAAAGGACTAACAGCATCGTCATTGAAATAACAGTCTACAGTAAAAATGGAAATAGAATGCAAGTTAAAATTCTTCCACCATATGAGGTCGTGTATTCTAAATATATGAACCACTCACTTCTCTAGGGAAAAAATCAACACAACATAATATTTTTAGACAAAATGTAATGGTACTCATTCGTGACTCTTCATTTTGCTAACGAGTTACAAAAATGAAATCATAAAAGAAGTCCTAGGTTTAGTAAGGAAGCCCTAAAATTGTTTGCAATTCTTTGAAACAGACCAGACTTGCTTTATGAACTCTATTGATTTGTTAATCGAATTTCGGCGACGTAGCCTCCAGAGACGTATCGTGTTTCAGTCCCAAACAAGATTACAAAACAAGATTACAAAAACTTGAGGGAGGCGAGACAAAATAAATAGGACGTACGCGGTAGAAATAAGCCTCCCCGAGGGACAAAAGACTGTGCAAGTCTATAAATGTTATTCTTAGCGTTACAAATCTGGAGAAAGACTTGCCCTGAGAACCGGATAAGAATAATTTATTTTTGCGTCCTCCAGCCTTCGTATAATTTTCCTTCTCCTTCTTTCCCACACCCACCTTCTTCTTCTTCTTCTTCTTCTTCTTCTTCTTCTTCTTCTTCTTCTTCTTCTTGCTACCGTGCCAGTCTCAGAGGTCAAAACTTGCAAATGCATGGGATTTATGCTTTCTCTGGTTTCATTCTCGTATGTTCCAGACAGCGTTCTCTGCGCCGGGACTCCTAGCGAGGGAGTGAGATCCTTGGCTTAATGTTACCTATTCAGCATCTGATATTTCTAGTATTCGCTTTCTATTCTTGCGGTTAGCCTCTAAATAGCTTGCTCCTCTCCCGCCTTCCCTCATAAAAGTACGTTTGTATTGGATTTTTATCCAATGTTTGGGCCTCCACAAAAGGGACTTTTGAACTGGCAGAGCTTCTTTTTACTACATTTCTTTAAAGTAAAGTCATTTTGCCGCGCTCCAGAGCCACTTTTATTGAACTGTTTAGCCTCACTGCCCTTTGTGGTGAGGATACTAATTTGAATTTTTTTTTTAAACCATACATTTCGCCATTCTACCTCCGACCTTCACTCTTTCCTCATGCAAATCTCTTACCCCAAGGACAATTAATGTCCTACAGCTTCGATGGTGCTCATCAATGGCGACGGAAAAGAAAACGTTTAGCAAACCAAACCGAAAGGGGGAGGGGGAATTCTGCACAGTTTTATCACTTCAGATGAGTACATCTTTTCATTTAGGAAATTTATGTTTGTGGTTTCCATAATAACCAAACCATCGTCTTTGGAAATACCGTTAGAGGTAGCGGCACCCCTTCATATTTAATCCAGTTTTTAGTTTTAAGATTCATATCTAACACAAAAAATGGTATAGGCTTAACGCCCCTATCAACACTATTAGGTTATTTAAAGAGTCGGGATCTCTGAATCTAGCGTCCATCTCCGAAAGGACCGAGCCAAAAGGGAAATTCGTGTAAAGTGTCTTTACCAAGGACACAACGTTGGACCGAGCTGACGCTCAAACCCCCGAGCCCGCAATCTCATATCTGACACATCATTATTCTAAAATAGCAAAGTTTGGTAAAAAAAAAAAAAAATTTTAAATAAAAATACAATAAGAGAGATCGTTTAGAAATAGTTTCTACTACTGGGCAAACATAAACATAATTTGTTGTCTTTTTATTTATCGAGTTATACAATATTCTACCACAATATACTTGTGACAGCTATTTTTCCTTTGACTCGCTCTTTGCAATAAGTAAAAGCATTTTAGAGCATGGTGTGATTATGTTCTCAGAATTAAACATTAAAGTGTTCCGCAATCAAACATTAACAGCAACTGACATTCTCATACTATATATATATGATTTATATTTTGTAAGCAGTTCTCTTGGATTCACCATTCCTAAACTCGTGTGTATGCTTTATAAACAGTCTTATAAACTATTTAAAACATCTTTAAAACTCAAGAAACCTTACGTTTATTTGTTTAAAGTAAATACTCACAAAGGTCATGTAGGGTATGTTGTAGGCCGTGGACATGAGGCCGGCTGAGTTACAATAGGCGTCAGGGCCGATGAAGGCGTCCACTGTGCGGTTACAGTACAGTTCTGCCATTTCCCTCATCGCCACAGCCTCCAGGTTCTTCGTGTCCCGGAATATCCGTGTGAAAGTCACAGGGATAGACTTGTTCCGCGCCTCATCGTTGAGATGATCCACGGCCAAGAAAAAGGCACCTCCGAAGAGTTTCCCTTTTCCATGATTCTCCAAGTTCGTGAGGAAGGCGAGGTTGATATCTATCGGGGTCATGAGAGATAGATTGACGGGTGTGGCAGAATTATTGTAAGGATGACGTTGATTAGTTCTGCACGCCATTCCTGTGTTTTCATACATTTCCGTTGCAGTTGCGCAAGTGGTGACGATGGAGAGAGTGAAAAAGAAAAGCAGCCCATTTGAAGAAGAGGTCCAGAAAGTACGACAGTGTACTTTCATGTCTCTGATATGTTTCCTCCAAAACGTCGAAGCTAAAGAAAACATATTTGCCGAATACACTTGCTTTGTCCTGCCAAGGCGTAACATGCCCATGTTGAATCGTCACATTAATGTTGTTTTGATCGAGGCCGATTTTGATGCACTCCACAGCGATGGGTATTTGTTGTATACAGTAAATTCCCACAAGTCCTCACACAGGACCATGACAGCATAACCATCGCGTTATAAATTCCCTGCATGCGCAACCCCGACCAAAGCAAGCAGAGACGAGAAATGTATCGGTTCTACTCTCAAGTGAGATTTCTCCATCGGCATGCAATCTGTAATGCTTCTGTACCTCCGATTTTGTTTTCAAATTCTTTAATCGATACGCCGATTCCTGATCAATGCAGATATTGCCAATGCCCGGGTAAGCATAAGAAAAATCTGTGGAAGAACGAAGACAAAACAACGTTAGAAGAAATAATATTTTTAATTTTGCAATGATACATAATAAAGCATATTATCCTCATTGAATGGAGTAATAATGGCACGCCAATTTGTGGCACGGGTGGTCTACAAAAAAGTAATGTTGAAAGGGTTTTTTCCGTATCGCTTCACTAACATATAATTATCATCATTAAACGTATTGTGTTACGACACCAAATGCTTAGGCTGAATATCCCAGTTCCATCTACATGACTTAAAACTTCCAAACGTTTAGCTTTAGCCGAGGCTGATCGTGGCAGCAGGAGAAATCTACACACAACGAGCCTTTATATGTTATCCACTTTTAAGCTTCACGATTAGCCCCTTAAGCGACGAGGACAAGACTGATTAAAAACAATCATGGATTCCGATGATGCCTACAGTTCTCTTTTTTCTTTTTCCAAAGGGGGGGTGGAGGACGTTGGTATAAAAGATCTAACTGTCATACCAGTTTTTGTTTCGTGTGTACATTGTTTAAACGAGAGACGCTAATGTAATCGATTCGCTTCATGACGCACAGACATTGCCTTACCACCTCTGTTGTTGGCGGTTGTTGTCTTGTGGTTAGGCTTCCACACTCATAATAATGAGATTGTGGATTCAACGGTTCGAGGCTCAGCTCGGTACAAAATTGTTTCCTTGATTTTAGTAACAGTTTTACGGCACTTGCAACACAATAAGGTAACATAAGTGCTAAAGATCAGAGGCGTTCCAAGACAATAACAAACACGAAAAGAAGGAGGAGAGATCAGGACGATAGGTGTTTAATGGGAAAGAAGGAGCAAATCACACCGCAGCACCTGCCAACCACCTACTGAAGGCTAGATTTTATCGGATGTTAAATTCGGAGGTCCTGCCTCTTAAACAACCTTACAGTGACGCAAGGGGCTTTAAACCTATTCAATTTTGCATCATCCCTGCCCCCAGTTTAATACCCCACCAGCCACACTATAATTATCTCACAAGAAAGATGACACCGAACCAGAAGTACACGTGGCATACTATTGTCCACAATCATAATGAATAAGAACGTGTCTCCAACAATGTCCCGGAAGTCTAAATAGCCTTTCCATGTAAGCAATTCTCGCATAACGTGAGTCGTGAATCGAGTAAACAAATGTCTTGTTCGCCCTTTATAAAATGCAATGCACTACAAGCCAATCTCACTCTGAAGCAAACGTAACTGCAGTATCTCCAAGAATAAAAATTAACGAGTCGTGCACAATCTTATGGAAACAAACAGAAAAACCATCGCGCTTGGCCGACAGCCTTAACGATCACGCAAACGCCAGATTAGCCCAATTTAAAATCCCAATCAATAAAGGCAATAAGGACGATCCACATTACAGGTCATCGGTTCAGAATGATCGCCGATGTTGTAACATGGTGTAGGCGTTTGTCTCCACAGAATCACCATTATTCTGCAGGGAACAACGACAACCGACAACTATCTTGTAATCGATATAACTACTGAATACTAAGAAAGAAGCAATTATCAGTCAACGACTCTTATGTGCATGGGAGGTTGTATTGTTTTGGCTTCCCAGGAGGGTATATGAGTTACAGATCTTACGCCAATACCAGTTTGTGTTTTTCATGCACATTGTTGATTAAAACTAGAGACAATAGTGCAATCGATTGAACCCCCGAATACCAAGAAGTACGTTAATTATCTGTGAACGGAACCTACGTATGATGTTTACACGTGCTGTTTTCAGTTATTGTTCCAGACAGAAGGAAAACACTTGCGTCTGCCATCCTGCGCATCTATCCGGGAACTGGGATAAAGATTCCGCAAACAATAAAGTGTGTTCACCAAGTGATACTATTGATGTCACATGGGTCAATGTCGGTATTCTAATGTCTTTCTACATCTGAGTCACACAAAGGTCTCTTAGCTACAAAACTACAATAGGCTTAAATGTGAATTTTCCAAGATCAAAACTGGTTATCATTTCCTTCAGACTTCGGTTATTTTACCCGTTCTCCATGTCCCAATTGTTAACTCCCTAAATAATCTGCTTTGTATTCAATAGCACGAGGCAAGAATCCGCTTGGATTTACGTTTCCCTTTGTAGCAGCAATGCAGACGTCATCAAGTCATCTCTTATTACACAACGTAATTTTGAGGGTTTTTACGGTTATGTCAAAGGACACACCACACCTGGAAAAAAATCTGCTATATTACATTTTAGAGATGGAAGTCTGAATCTTTAAATTATAATTGCTCTGCCAAGCAAAATAATTCTTTACCGTATTTGGGACGGATTATTTGAATTAATATCAAGACAAAACTGACCTCGCGTCACCATAAAGCACATGACGCAAATATTGTGATGAGAGAGTTGCAACTCGCTTACAAAGTTTATTTTGCACTGCTTTGCACTGCTAGGGTATTTCTTGCAGATACGTAATTTCTTGCATGACACAGGAGAGCAAAATTTCAAAATGACATATTTATTTAGAGTACCTGTATAAAGATCATTCTAACGATAACACAAACTCTGTTGATTTTTAGTACCTTAGGCACAAATCAAGCATGATAATAATGGGGAATAATTGATTAATTGATTGATTGATTGTTCAATCGATTCTGAAGCTCATAAAATTATTCATCTATATCGTTGTTGTTGCTATGGTGGTGGTGTTGGCGGCGGCAGTGATGGTGGTGATGTCCAGTGCATATTATATATCATGTACTTTGTATAGCATACTGAAAAGTTCTCCTTCCGTGTCCAGATAACAGGGATAGAAGTAGGAGCGCCTGACGCAGGAAGCGATTCTTCGCTCGTTATCCCGTCTCACCGGGCACAAGACAGAAATAAAACCTCGTGATAGAAATTAACTTAAGCAAGACGTACACTGGGAACACTGATAGAGTCGATTAATACTCTACATAATCTAAGTGCTGAGTCCATAGAAATGCTGCGTACACTTATGTTAATTGGGGCGTAAAATCAGCTCACGCATTATTAATACGGTTTCTGCTCTATAGCCAACAACCACTGATGTTTTCACTGTGAGTACATGGAGATTTGGGGGGAGGGTGAGGGAGTGGCCGGAGGGGGTGGAAATAGAATTACGTCATTGGTGTTATGAAACAAAAAAACAGCAAAAGGGGGTGACAAAGGAGGGTTTCAGCATCTTTTTTGGTGCGCTCTTGCATCGCACTCCCGTTAACAACAATGCACACTTTCATTGACTGGTGGAGTGAGTGATTGATTGATTGATCAATCGATTCAGCTACTCTGTAGGTACATGCATTCATTCTGTTGTTTCTTTAAGTTGTTTTATTGTTGCTGTTTTTGTTGTGGCTGTTTGTGGTGTTGTAGTTGTTGTTGTTGTTGCTGTTGTTGATATCAATGTTGTTGTGCATGTCTTGTTTGGTTGTAGTACTTGGTGAGCTACCAATAAGCTTAGTATGGCCACATTTCACTAGACTGATAGTAACAACAAAACAAGTAGGAAATAGATGGGTAGACCAGACAAGAGCGCCATCAACTATGTACTAACAGTCAACGCCACGCTTATCTGTCCCTGGTCACTATATCTTGCCTGGATACACCCACGCCGTAGGTGATTTCCTCCTCCTCGATCGGATTCATATAACTACCTCTTTTTTTTCGTTTGGTCTCCGGTGCCGTGTCTGATATAGGGCAATCGTGTCTCTAGCATTCTTAAAACGTATACACATTATGTACAAAATGTCTCCATATTCTTCTTTTTATGGTCATACTTGATTAACTAACACATAAGCTACCCTACTGACTCATGTGTTTGTTTGTTTTTTGTAAAGTGTTTAACGGCGCTCGCAACTGCATAAGGTCATATGAGCGCGCGGGACACACTTAATATTTTCAGTTGGTAGGAAATTTTGAATTTTGCCCGGGTGGCGGCCGAAGTCTACTCTTATCGATTTTAGACCACCAAGGGATCTTTAACGTGCGCAACTTGCACACGGGCCGTCCGAGATTTTTCACCCTTGTCCGAAAAGGCTAGGTGTAGATCTTTCCTACCAGAAGATCAGGGGTGTGGCAGAAAGACAGCAGTAAGGAGGAGCCAAGGAGTAGCAGTAGAAAGGCTGCAGAAAGAGTCAGGAGCCCAGAGGAGGGGGCAAAGGAGGTGAGGGGGTGGGGGCAGAAAGTGGAAATAAAAGCAGACAACAGAACATTGCTAGAGAGCAGGAAAGGAGGTGAAAGGAGACCATTTTAGAGAGGAAAAATTTTTCGGAAGCTACCCGGATTCGAACCCACGACCTTTGAATGAGAGGCCAACACCTTAACCTCTAGGCCACGAGAGCCCCCTAAGAAGAAGCGAAAGAGTAGCAGTAGAAAAGCTGCAGAAAGAATCAGGAGCCCAGAGGAAGGGGCAAAGGAGGTGAGGGGGTGGGGGCAGAAAGAGGAGACGAAATCAGACGACAGAACATTGCTAGAGAGCAGGAAATGAGGTGAAAGGAAACAAATTTAGAGAAGAAAATCTTTCGGTCGCTACCCGGATTCGAACCCGGGACCTTTTGAATGACAGGCCAACACCTTAACCTCTTGGCCACGAGAGCCCCCACTCAGTTGTTTATGAGAATATGGAGTCACATAACCTGTCAAAGAAAAGACTTATCCAGAGGCCGGCATGGTGTCTGTCTCGCCTTGCTATCCCCACCCTTGTCTTCCACACACGAATTCTCTTTAAAAGCTGCTGCAGCCACGAAAAATGTGTCAAAGTCAATTTGTTTTTCACGCTAGAAAATGTTCTCTTCTAATCATCTATGCTGTATAATATGCATGACTTTCAAGAGTGTCGTCCGAGAAGGAAATTCATATCCTATGGGCATTCATGATAATGCATATCAATTGGGCGGCGTGTCCACATTTCTGTGCCATTAATCTCTCTCTCTCTCTCTCTCTCTCTCTCTCTCTCTCTCTCTCTCTCTCTCTCTCTCTCTCTCTCTCTCTCTCTCTCTC